AAGAGTCATTCTGTATGCAATTAGTGGTATAAATGCAAACTTCCATTAACAAAGTTATTTTTCAAGCGGCATAAACATTTACCTCTTCAAAACTCTACGAACCTTCCTGGTCTGTCTCCAAACACTAATATTTTCAGGAACATTACTGTGCAATATACGCAGAAACTAGGAACCTTTTTATATGCACCATAAAAAGATTCCTAGTTTCTAAACAACAAAAATTGCCGCCACCTCAACGTTTTAAACCAGAGCTATGATACTAAGAAACTTAGAAACGTCTGTAAAGAGGTGCTGGTGCATGTGGAAGACAGGAATAATTTGATACAGACCAGGAGAGACATTGCATACCAGCTGATATGAGATCTGACAAGAGCAAAAATCCTTCCTCCTCCTTGTGAAGTGTAACGGGCGTGAGAGGTGAAGTGGCTCGTCTCTCTGGGCAATACACCTCTACAGCATCTGGCTGCTATTTCTGTGCTCCCAGGACCATCCAGTGCTGTAGGTTGCAGTAAAGGAGCTTTATGTCATTTGGCATGTGAAATAGTCCTCCTAGGTATATCTGGCTCACACGCTAATGTTATGATTATTTGCCGGGGTTTAGGTTGTAGCCGTGTTGGTCTAAGGACATAGGCAGACAAGGTTCCTTGGGTGAATTTGATATCTTTTATTAGACCAACCCAAATAGTTGGAGAATAGTTATTAAGCAAGCTTTCGAGTTCAAAAACCCTTCGTCAGGCTAAGGAAGTTTCAGCAGTTGGTGTGTGCTCTTCCTGGAAAAGACTTTTCATTCCATCCAGGAAGAGCACACACCAACTGCTGAAACTTCCTTAGCCTGATGAAGGGTTTTTGAACCCAAAAACTTGCTTAATAACTATTCTCCAACTATTTGGGTTGGTCTAATAAAAGATATCAAATTCACCCAAGGAACCTTGTCTGCCTATGATTATTTACTGGCATATGCAGTTTTTCTTGGCCCACACTTAAGGAAGGATGTGTCACTTATTGCAGGGCTAGGAAGGAGATCCCTGTGTAAACTGACAGTTGGTTTTATTGCTTTCCTTCAGGAGAAGGCAGAGGAAATGTATCGCCTGTATCAGAACTCGACACTTTCTTCTCACCCGGTTGTTGCCCTCTCAGAATTGCGTTTGCTCTGTGCCAACATGTGTCCGGATGAGAGGACGTTCTATTTGTTGCTGCTCCAGCTCCAGAAGGAAAAGAAGGTCACAGTCTTGGAACAGAATGGAGAGAAGGTACAGAGTAAAAGTGACAGTTTTGGGGTGTGATCCCATCCCTGTCATGCTTCCTGTTTGGCTTTCAGGGTACTTATTTTGATGGCTAAATGTCAGCATCTTCCAGTGGAATTGGCTAGGTTCCCCTATAACAGCATGTAACCTCTTGGTGGAGGGATAAAGCTCCAGAGTGTTCGGGAAGTGAAGGGTCTTAATTCCTCTCAGCAGTCAATAACTTTGTGGTTAATGTGGTGCTATTCACCCCCAAAGATTCTATACTGCATAACCTGGCAGGCAATCTGTAGACATGGGGACAGTTCAGCTACTCGGAGCAACATTGCACAGCAGTTTAGGAGAGGAATCGGGAGAACTTCATATCCAGTTGAAAATGCAGGAGAGATTTGGAGAGACTGAATCCAACTCTCAAATAGGAATAAGGCCACAACTTTGGGATTACTACTGCAACTCTGACAAAGTGATTACAACCTAAGTTTCACTTCTGATCTAAACAGTGGCATTTCTGTTAGCCCAGTGCTCTTTAAATATCAGCCAGGGTCATTGTCTGAATAGTATTTGGCAACTTCGCATTTCAAAAAGTCGTGCAAACCCAAAGCAATTGGTGCTGAATGAGAAGAGCATTTCTGAAATTGCAAATGCGACTCCTGCAGCTTTTTGCTTCCTTAGAAGCAGCCCAGCTGCATACAGATACAGTTGAATCCTGTTCGGTTTGTGATCTTGTACAGGATTGTAGCACAGCTGGCCTTAGTCCTTTTTTAGACTTGAGGTCATCAGTGTCCCTTTCAGTATTGTGGTGCTCCAAGCTGGAAAAATGGCTACAGGACTCTTGTAAAAAGGCCGTGTAAAGATAAAATCCATCTCCTCAATGTAGCTGTCACGTTACAGATTCCTGCTTGGTGGAACACAGCTTCAGCAGGACGGCAACTCAACAGCTTTTTCCTCTTTCTAGATTGTAAAATTTGCCCGGGGTCTTCACACCAAAGTGTCCCCAGTTAATGACGTGGACATCGGGGTATATCAGCTGATGCAGAGTGAGCAGCTGCTGTCACGGAAGGTGGAGTCCCTCTCTCAGGAAGCCGAGAGGTAATGAGTGTATTACTCAGCTCTAAGGAAAAGCTGCTTGTGAACTACAACTTCTTGCTCACGTGTTATGTCCTAGATCACCTTGTTCGTGCTACTGTCTAAAGTCAAGGGATTTCTCTGATTTGCCTATCAGAGTTCCTTGTTTTTACCCTCTGTCCCTCTATTCAGCCATGTGAATTTTTCTGTCCTTGGATGCACCCCAGCTTTTTGTCATTTTATACAAGGTATCTTGGATAGTGCTTACACTGTTGTAGGGTACATTGGGTCTGAGCCTGTGGCAGTTGGTGGAACAGGAATCTTCAGGGCAGAAGAAGAAGGATGGAAGGAAAGCTGGCTGTTTTGTGAACCCTCTCCTGCATGTGATTTGATTTAATTTCTCCTTTTCTGGACTTCCAGGTGTAAAGAGGAGGCCCGAAGTGCTTGTAGAGCTGGGAAAAAACAGCTGGTAAGTGGTGCTGCTCGACTGCTGCTGTTTGGGAGATGTGGTCTTGGAACTGTGATGTGAGCAGCTTCCAAAGTTGTGTTGCATTCAAGCCATTCTGTGATCTACAAGATTTCCTGAGGCAGAGAGGCTCAATTCATATGAGATGCCCTCTTTGTGAGTATACTCCCTGCGTGTGAGACGTACAAGAGTGATGTCTCTCCTAAAGCCAACTGTGCTGTCTTCCTTGTTGTGCTTGGGATAGTTGTTTAAAGAAGGGACTTATTTGAATGCTGCCTGGTTTCTGATCTGTTTCTGCATCTTTTTCTTCTAGGCACTTAGATGTTTAAAATCAAAGCGAAGGACAGAGAGACGGATTGAAGAGCTCCATTCCAAGCTGGATACAGTGCAGGGTATACTGGATCGTATATATGCTTCACAGACGGATCAGATGGTAATGTACACAGTGTGTTATGGTAGAGCAGCCAGTAGTCCTTTCTTGGGTCAAGAGATGTGTCCCCATTAAAGTGAAATATCTTTTCTCTCCCTCCACCCCCCATTTAGGTGTTTAATGCCTACCAAGCTGGAGTAGGAGCTCTAAAACTGTCCATGAAGGATGTCACTGTGGAAAAGGCAGAGAACCTGGTGGATCAGATTCAGGAGGTAAAGTAACTGGAATGAGATGCTTGAACAGTAGCTTGTGACTGAGTGAGAAAATGCTGGTGGCTATGTTATAGACATGTTTTCCAAATCTTTGCCTGAGGCTCCTGACAATTATGTCTGTATGTGCCTCCTGTTTCTAGGGTGGCTCAATTTTTTTTTTTTTAATGAAAGTGAGATAAATCACCATTTTACTCTTGATTTTAATCAGGAAACCTTGGTTGTAATCTTTACATTTGTGTTTACTTCCTTAAAGAAAAGCTCTGTCTTACCGATTGGTAGCCATTAAAGCACATTTATAGAGAGAGTTTTTGCCTAAATTTGGCATATCTTCATGTTATGGAGAATACCACCTACTAATTCATGACTCCTGTCAAGATTGGGATGGAAACTTGTGCATTTCATTGCATTCTAACAAAAACTTATTTTATTTAAATCATCTTAAATGTACTAGATACATAAAAATAAGGTGTAAGGGATTTTTTTAGGCTAAACTTCAGGATTTCTTTTTGGCGCCTATGTTCACATTTTAAATCAAATGGGACTCTCAGCTTATTTATTTATGGATTGGAAGAGGAAAAACATCCTTCCCTGTTTTGACAATCTCCTTATCCATCTCTTATTTCTGAAAAATGCAACTAAACTGACCTAGTTGAGTGAACTGAAATCAAGAAAATAGTCCCTCTGCTCCTGCAGGAACAGCCATTCATGTCAGGCTATATTTTTACTTCCATAAATTCTTGTCCCAGATTCTAAAACTGTGACTTGCACCAGCCTTTTAAAATGTTGGGAGCAAACACGTAGTGATTAGTATTTGTATTTTAGCTAATTTTTATTTGGATGGTTTGTAAGAAGCTTAGGCCTTAATATATTTGCTGTAATTCTAATATAAAAATAGTATAATTTGGAAAAGGAAAAAAAAGAACTTATTGTATTCATTCTGCTTATCAGTTGCATCCTTGATCTTCTATGAAATCAATCGTCACATTAATCGCTCAGCTTGTTAATGTTTTGCAACTTATTTGTGACGTTAGCCCTTTAGGTCTTTCAGTGCTGATAGATGCTATCTATAAAGTTCCTTTGTAGTCTTCTATTTAACTTCATCAAGATCAGCTTTGAGCATTGTATTTCAAGGCTGCACACTGTTCCTTCTCTTTGCAGCTTTGTGATACCCAAGATGAAGTTGCCCAGACTTTGGCAGGGGTGGGGATCAATGGTCTGGGTAAGTACACGCCTTGCACAGGCTTCTCATCCTTTTGCTTACCACCACCCACAAATGACGGTGCAGCTGGCTCTCCTTCCTCAGAGAGTAGGCGGTTGTTCTCAGCAGTTTGGAGGAAGGAACTGGTCATTTGTTATAGAGGGAGAAAGATTTAACAGGGTAGTTCTGTATGTCTCTGCTAACTTCTACTGATCTGCTGAGCCACTTGCAAATGGAACATGGACTCCCCTAAACACGTGCATGTATGAAAGTGCCAGTGGCCCTCAGAAGTTGGGTTGTGAACACTTTTTAGGATGGTATCATTAGTTCTAATTGGGGAGGCCCCTTTCTTCCTGTTGGTTTCATAGCACCTTACTGTGTCATTTATCTATCTTTTCTGGAACACTTTCCCCATCCCCTTGGCACCTCCACCTTCCCAAACATACAGGCTTCTGCAGTGACTCTTCCTTAGCCTGAAGTCTGGCTGTACCTCCAGGTGCTTAACGATGTAGAGTTCTGCCACCCCAAGGGACTGACAGTTTGTTTTCTTTGACCAGCAGAAGTTGACACTGAGGAACTTGAGAAGGAGCTAGATAGTCTTCTTGTGGACTCGACTAAAGAGACTCTGGATCTGCCTCCCGTGCCCCAGAAGCCGCTGCTTCCCACCGTTTCTGATGCAGAGCTTGAAGCTGAGTTGGAGAAACTTTCCTTGTCAGACAGAGGTATGCGTAGATGCCAGCAAACAGCCTTACTCATGTGTCTGCTGTTGGGAACGGGCACAACCAAGGGTCTGTATTCGCAACCTGTATGGTAGAGTGTCTAGCATTACTGCATTGGAAATTGGTGACCTCTGGCAGTCTGGGCATAGAAGACAAATGTGCTTTGGGTCCAGGAGACTTCCTCATGTTTCTTATCTGTATAGGTGAGGCTTAAAAGTTGAGGCACAGCAGAGTGAGCAGTGTAGGGTGGAGAGGGGAGCTTAGTCTCATGAGGTCACTGTTGTACCTAGTCTGTGGACAGCGATTGCTGAATTTATGGCTGACAATATGGAAATGCCATAGAGCAAGGGGACGTCCTCCTCTCTTCAGCCTTCATACTGTGGGATAGGAAAGTATGCTGCAGCAAGGTGTGTTGTGCATAATTCCTTTTAAAACTAAAGCACCCAGAAAGCTGCGTGAGGTTACCTGGTGTGTATTTGGTGGTTTTTATGTAACCAATAACTCTCGAGAGGGCCTTGATGACTCAGTACCTAAAATACTGACTTCTCGGCCAAGTTCTTGAATAAGCTACATCCCAGATCAGTTGTTCAAGGGCCTTCATTTCTTCCTGCCTCCTGTCTTGTAGGCACAGGCTCAGCGGGCCTTGAAGTTAATAACCTACAAAAAAACTGTACTGGATCAGATGCCTAGTCCCTCTTGTCTCAAGTAGGAGTAAATTTCAGGTGCTTCAGATATTCTTTTGTTGAAGACAGATTATAGAATGGCCTGCCCATAGAACATTCTTTGTGTTTGTATAGTTAGTAATGACCTTTTCTGGACTGAAACATGAAGGTTACATGTTTAGAAATATCACTTAGGCCTTCTGTTTAACACTTTTGAAACTGAGACAGTTCCTCAGGCCTGTATAAGTACATTATTTTTTCTTGTCTTCAGGTTTAGCTGGTCTCTAACCCATCCTGCTGCTAAGCATTCACTTGTCTTTTTTCATCTTCCTTTGTAGGTTTGGCACAAAAGACTGTCTCTACTTCCTCTGAGCCCAAAAGAGTGGTGGCACTGGATCTCTGAAGATACAACAGCACCCTGCTGCTATGATTTGAGAATAGTCTTAAGTTTGCTTAAATAGTGACCATAATTTTAAAGAGTAACTTTGGACGGTGGGCTAACACCCTTCTCTTTTTACTGGATATCACTTGCTAAGTGACATGATCTACTGCCATGACAATCCACCCTCTCTGGAACTGATACCAGCTGGTGTTGCTGTCATCTTAGTGCCAATATCTACATTGGTCCCAGTTTGACTGGTTATCCCAAGTCGCCTTCGGTGTTCATTATTTTCCTGGTGAGCTGTCTTCCCTACTGGGATTACAGCCCTCGCTGTTATGTCCAATGAAGATGAGAGCTCTTCTTCATAACTGCTTGATTTTGTTGCAGCTGATGTTGAGGAGAACCTGAAAAGCAGCAGTATCGCAGTTGCTCAACGTCTGGCTAGTTGTGTGGTTGTGTAAAACATTTGGCACATTACATATATACTGTCCTTAACAGTCAAGTGTCTGCAATAAGCTTGCACACCTGTCGATAGTGCTACCTATCTTTTCCTGTTTGTATTTGCACGGTTGTGGACAACTAGACATGTGACTCTTTAACTGTAGGAAACTTTGTTCTTGTTGCCACAAGGGGGCAGCAGTTGCCAGCACAAAATGACACTTTCTCCTCTTTCTGTAATAACAAGGCCTTAAAAAGAGACCTGCAAAGGGCTTAAAAATGAAGGTGTTGCTTTTTATGCTGTGATGAGATGGGCCTGCAAAGCTGATTTAAAAAAAATAAACTGCTTAGTTTGTGTTTTTGGGTTTTGTTTTTTTTTAACCTGTGAAAACAGCAGGTACTTCAAGTTTTACCTTCCCTGTTTTTTGCAGGAGATTTTTGGGAGTCAGAGGGGGATTAAATGAGAGGTTCTTTTTTTTTGCACTACCAGGGAGAATTTGGGGGGTATAGTAGTCTTCTCCAAAGTGTATGGGGGCTCTTGAATCCTTCACACAATGCAACTCCTCCCCTTCAGTTTTCAGTCTTGAGGCATAACACTACGAGCTGAGCTAGAGGAGAACTGCATTTTTAATGTACACAACCCAAGCAGAGCCTTTATTCGTCAGAACAAAGTGCAGTCTTTTTGTCCCCATTTGCAGGTCACTTTTACTATGCTTATCATGTACACAGAAGAGGGTAAACCTGGCTAATCATGCTTCAGTTGCTTCCAGTGGGACTGGGTGACCTCTTTTGGGAGAGGCAGATGTTTCCACCTGTGCTCTGTGTATCCTGGCTCCTGATGGGAGATCCATAGTGGGGTTGGTACCAAGCACATGTGAGCCTGGGGAAGTCTGTGGGGTTTTGCTGAGTAGGTGTTTGTTTGTAATTGGTGTCCTGCTTCTGTCCCTCCTTTGAGGTAGAATGTATTATTTGTTGTACTAGTTTCATGCCTGCCTCTGCTACCAGTAGCTGCCCACTTCCCAGGGCACACAAAGGACAGGTTGCTTGAACTAGCAGTAATGAGTCATGGAATAATAATCAAAGCAGGGAAAAAGGAGCTCTAGACATAGCCCAACTTCTGGAGATGAGAGAGAGAACTGCCAGGGAGGTAACTTCAGTGTGCTGCATCTGAACACAGCCAGCTCCTCTACCAGATCCCCTCACCAACACCACTACTGTTCCTGAGTGCAAGCTCCTCAGACAGAGGGGCAAGGTGCAGCAGGTAAGCAGTTCATGTGAGCTAAAAGCAGAATCACAGTAAATACAGTCAGTGTGTTCCTTTCCTTTCTGTACAAAAGGGGAAAAAAGATTGCTGGTCTTTACTACCTGCCATGTAATAAAGGGAGGAAAAATCAAGAGTGTAATGTGCTTTTTCTCTTGCATATTATTTTTTTTCCATTGATCGTCTTGGTATTAATGTAGCTCCAGCTGTGCTGCTGTTTCTGGAAAAGTCTATTAAATACAAATAGGCAGGTCCTTCAGCTTTGATCTTAAAAACCAAGCCATGAATAATCAATGCACCAGCCAGCTCTGTTTACCTGAAGCCTGGCTGCTTCTCAGAAAAGCAGCTGTGCTCTGCATTGTCTCTACAACCTGTTGCTTAGAAGAGGTGGCCTGACAAGTGACCGTTGCTTCTGGGCATCATGCTGATGTACAATTCCACTTGTTCCATTTCTCTCTGTGAGAGGCAATGTGCAAAGTGATGAGAGAGCAAGAAAAAATGGGGGGGGGGTGCAGGCATGCATACACCCACAAATGGGGTGCTTCTACTGCACGTACATATAAATTTCTTGCAACAACAGTTGTTTTAGGAGGACTGGCAGTGACTCATAAGAGTTAAAACCCAGGCAGCTGCTGTCTTACTTGAAGTGGATTGTAATTTTTGTGCTTTGACTCCAAGTGGGAATGTAATCAAGCAGGCTCAATGGAAAGAAAACATCAAGATGTAACTATGAAAGAAAAAGAGGAAAATGGTGGAAGGGTAATATACATAGATGGCATATTGCTGAAATATGAGAGAGAAAATACAAGAACATCAAGTGCTAATGAGTTGCCATCAAAATGAAATCTTCCCACAGAAGAAGTGCTTTGCAAAATATAAACACAGTACCCATTTGATTCTCTATTGAAAGGTCAGCCACTTCTCTCATGAAATGCATAGTGACTTAAGGTGACTCTGCAATGCAGATCCTTGGTCTTGCATCTTGGTGGAAAGGCTGTTTCCCTAGTACCATGGCAATGCATGGGAGCCAGATGACTGCAAAATGGAAGAGTGCTCTCAACTAATAAATCATCTACATGGCCTGCTCTAGCTTTTACTCAAATGCTTCCTATGCAAGAACTTGGCTGGGTTACCTTGTGGTCTCCAACTGTACTGTGAGTATCGTGGCTGACGGCAGGGTGAGATTCAGTTCCCAGACAGAACTCTATGCTGAGACTGCCATATTTTCCTGGGTGCCTTATTTGTTAAAAGACCTTGGCAATCTAGACGGTGCCGAGGGAGCACAGTGGTGAATGCCCTATCACAATAACACCGGTGCATGGCACAAGGCTGCAGTTTGCCAAGGCCCTTTGTCGGATGGGCTGCATCTATGTATAACGCACCAAATCTGTGCAACAAAAGCCATACAGCTGGCTGCTTGGATATGGTTTTCTCATTGCAGATGTGTCCTAGCCAGGAGTGCCTGGTGTCTCTGTGCTTAACATTTGTCCTCCTGCCTTTGCTGAAATGCCTTAGTCCATTTATGTAATTTAAGTAATAATAACAGTTTCACAGAGCAAACTAGCCTTCAGTCCCTGGGTCTTCCTCCTTGGAGTAAATACTTGGCAGGAGCTTGCTACAAAGTGATGGAGTTAATGAGACCATTAAATGAAGCCCTGGCAAGCTGTTACTGCAAAATATTTAGCTAGTTCCTTTAACGTGCACATTGCTGCAAAGGAAGTCATGTCACAAAACAACAGTATCCTCTTCTTGGTAAAAACACAATCACTGCCTTGAATGAATGGGGAGGGAGGAGAGGAGTATATCAACTATATTTCACCTCAAAGATATGAAAACTGAATAGTCCTGAAACATCTTGTATTAAATGTGAGATCACAGAGTGCCTGGGCTATGGGCTACAGCTAATTAAACAAAAGCTGGGTAGAGTTGTGGGTTTTTCTTTTCTCCTTCCCCATAAAAGACTGGCAGCTGCTTCCTCTCAGAAATGGTGTATCAAACAGGCAGAGATTAAAGTCACTGCAATATTTTAACAGCAAACCCTGGCTAATTAACAAGCTTAACGCTGAGGTTGGACTTGTTTCTTGGGGCGTTAACCTTGGAAGGATTTTTTTGCTGCTTGTTTCTCAGTGCATTTGCCAGAGTGGGATTTCTCCAACTGTCTATGGAGTTAAATGCCAAGCACTTTCTTAAGAGCTGGATTCTCAGGAAATGTAGCCTGAAATCCCACAGGAGCTAATTTGGCGGGGGGTAGGAGGGAACTGCTGTTGTTAGATCATCTCTCTAGTAACTAGTAGCAGATGTGATTCTGTGCAGATAGTGAGCTGGCTTGGGAACCAGATGCAAAAGGCTTGTGAAGGGATGTAGGTGCCGGGGGCGGGGGGTGGCACTTTGTTTTAATGGAGTAATGATTTTCTTGGCCCTGTTCTCTTTCTCTCTCTCCTTCTCATGCACTGAAATCTCCAGCCTCCTAGGCAAAGGGATCCCTGCTGTAACTACTTAAGTCAATGGAGTTTCAGTGTTGGTGGATATGGCCTGTTAATTTTTAACATGTAGCTGCAACTGAGAGAAAGTGAGTCCTGATTCCTAATACAGCAGCATAGCTTGCCTAATGCAAAGGAGGATGTGAGGAGAGTAGCTTGAGGCTGTGGCTTGTTGGGGTCACAGTGGGAGTCAATGGGAGGCAGTTCCACTATTAACACTATTCTGCACTTCTAGCCCTGGTGGTGATGGGAAACTCTTCTCCCTTAAGAGATGAGATGTAAATATAGAGCAAGGCAGTTGAGCCACTTCCCCTGCCATGCTGTAGATGAGATGATAAGGTGAGACCACTCTAGCTTTCCCCAGATGCACTCCATAAAGGGGACAGGAAATGGTAAGTCACTGCTGAATGATTCGCAGTAGGCGTCAGCACTGTTTTTGGGCAGAGTACCAAAAACACCCACAACCTTGACTTGGAAGATGTTGGAACGCCAGGGCAGGTGGTAGGGGAGCAGCAGGGGGGCCAATCCTTGTTGTGCCAGTGCAGCCTTAGCCACTTCCCTGCCATCTGCTTGGAGGCATGTGCACCAAGCAAAATGCCTTCACTTGCCACATTCTGGCACACATGCTGGGGGGTTGCCTACCCCTGATTTGGAGGCTCAGGGAACAGACTTCCTTGCAGTGACTCCTGGCTAGTCAGCCCTGTCCTAGAGGTCCCTATCAGCCTGGAAAAGGGACTGTGCTCTAAAGGCACTTGGATTGCATACTAATGTAGGAAGAGTTTTTGTTTTCAGTCCATCACTCTGCCAGAGTGGACTGCGGAGGGCTTGAGACACCCCTTCACCATGCTTTAAAAAAGGAATGCATTCACACCTGGAGTTCACTGAGAAACTTGCTTGGTTTTTTCTGTTAAAAGTGAACAAACTTAGTCCCGCTATCAAACTACTCGCTCAAGCTGCATTCAACATTTGGGGTTTTCTTAGATAAGAGCTACTCCCTTCAAATCTTAAAAGAGAACACTGCATAACTGCTCACTCTAATAGGCGCCGTTAGGAGGAAAAGGACCATGAGCGGATTAGACTCTAATACCTGGAGGTCTTTTATACAGTGGTTCATCTACAGACTTTAATATCTCTTACAATAGGAAGTAAACACCATTATCTAGTATATCTATGTTGGGATGACAAGGAAATGAGGTACAGAGGGGAAAATGTCCTGCCTAAAACCATGCAGTTAGGCAGTGGCAGAGTGGGGAAAAAAACCTGGTTCTCCAGTGTCGTATCCACCGCTGCTATAATCTGCTCATGCTGTCTGCCACTATGAGCATTAACATGACCTGGTTTCCCACCCTGACTGCTGCTATGTTTGATACAAGACCTGTCTGACTGCTCATCGCCTCAGCCCCAGAACCTCTTGCCTGTTTCCTGACCTTCTCTGCAGCCTATACCTTCCCCAGTTTTGGTGGAAGATCCTCCAGCCCCATCTAAAAACAAACTGGGCAGGAACTGGCAAATAGGGACCTGGTGTGAGATGAGAAGAGATGGGAAGAGATCTCACCTGAGGGAAATCCAGTGGAAGTTAGCAAGAGAGGAAAGAGCAGAGACAGCAAAACAGTCTGGTGCGTGAGCTGAGAAGCAGAGAGCATCCATCAGCAACAGCAGAGAGCAAGCCCAGTTCCTCCTCACATCTGGCAGCAAGTCCCAGCCTGGCCAGTACAAAAGGGACTGACTGGGATTGTACAGCCAGCAAATAGATCAGCAAGAGCTGATGAGCTGCTGAAAGAGGAGAGGGGAGGGAAGCTGGAAGCAGAGCCCACCCACCCTGCACAAGTGCAGGAGGTGAGCACGGGCTCTTTGTGAGCAGCAAGCTGTAAAAGAAAGAAAAGTGTGTGCGCGCGCTTTGGAGAAAGGTGGCTGAGAGCTGGGGAGAATGCCAGGCTGTCTGCAGGAGGTTTGGAAAGGAGCAAAAGGTTGGAGCACTTCTTGGGACCGGGAGATCTGGCGGAGCTGCGGGAGTTTGAGAGCTGGGAGAATCGCTAACTGCGACACTGGGATGCTAGCAGAGGAGTGACAAAGACATAGCTTTGTGCTGATGGGGACTTAGTGCTGGTGAGACCCCTGAGGACAGCAAGGACACACAGGGAACTCATGGATGGGCTTTACTTCTCCAGAGAGGCAGACGGGCTGGCAACGATCAATGACACCCTCAGCAGGGAGAGCTGGGGGGAGGAAGTCAACTCAGAGCTGTCCCTTCGGGTGGTGACAGGTGTCCTCCTCTTCCTCCTTATCCTGTCCACCCTCTTGGGCAACACCCTGGTGTGCGCGGCTGTGGTCAAGTTCAGACACCTGCGTTCCAAGGTCACCAACTTCTTTGTCATCTCGTTGGCTGTCTCCGACCTCTTTGTGGCTGTGCTAGTGATGCCCTGGAAGGCAGTTACCGAGGTGGCTGGCTTTTGGCCCTTTGGGGGCTTCTGTGACATCTGGGTGGCCTTTGACATTATGTGCTCCACTGCTTCCATCCTCAACCTGTGCGTCATCAGTGTGGACCGCTACTGGGCCATCTCCAGTCCCTTCCGCTATGAAAGGAAGATGACTCGGCGCGTGGCTTTTGTCATGATCGGGGTGGCATGGCTGCTCTCCATCTTGATCTCCTTCATCCCTGTGCAGCTGCAGTGGCACAAAGCCAGCGAGCTCCTTCCACCCCAAGAGTTGAGCTTCAACATCAGCCAGGAGGAGAACTGCGACTCCAGCCTCAGCCGGACCTATGCCATCTCTTCCTCCCTCATCAGCTTCTACATCCCGGTTGCCATCATGATTGTGACGTATACACGGATCTTCCGCATCGCCCAGCACCAGATTCGCCGCATCTCCTCCCTAGAAAGGGCAGTGGAGCATGCCCAAAATTGCCACAGCAGTGACTGTTCGCATGAGGCCTCCTTGAAGAACTCTTTCAGAAAGGAGACCAAAGTCCTCAAGACCCTCTCCATCATTATGGGTGTCTTTGTCTTCTGCTGGCTGCCCTTCTTTGTGCTCAACTGCATGGTGCCTTTCTGCGACTTCAGTCGGCATGAACCTGGTGAGCTGCCTTGTGTTAGTGAGACAGTCTTCAACATCTTCATCTGGTTTGGCTGGGCCAACTCCTCCCTCAACCCCATCATCTATGCTTTCAATGCTGACTTCAGGAAAGCCTTTGCCACCATCCTAGGCTGCAATCGCCTCTGCCCCAGCAATGCAGTGGAGACAGTGAACTTCAGCAATGAGCTGGTCTCCTACCACCATGACACCACCTACCAGAAAGAGGTGGTGACCCTCAGCTACCCGCACATCCTCCCCCATGCTGCCATGCAGGCAGAAGACCATGAGGTGACTTTCGACAAGGTGTCTCAAATTTCCCAGACTTCGCACAACAACCATCCCGGTCCTGTCTTACCTGCTGTGGTCCACGTGGAGTGTGAGGTGGCTGTATCACTGGAAAAGATCACGCCATTCACCCCCAGTGTCATGGGTTGAAAAGGGACTGGGGGCAGGGAGCATGGGGAGGGCAGACATAGCAGACAATACCCTGCTGCAATCAATCAGTTTCTGAGAATGTGACAATGCACAGAGCGGTTATGGGGCACGGGGGTTGCATGGGGTCACTTTTCCTGTCTTTCTGGCATAACCAACATGACTTTCCAGGGGATCAGAAAGCTCAGGGGATCTGAAGCAGGGTATGGTGCTTTCCCCTCTAACGTTGGGGGTTCAAACCCAGCCCAGGCTGGCACTCAATGAAAGCTTCAGGTGGCCTCTGATTCACATTCATATTCTGCGAGTACAGTAGAGAACTAGGCCGCAATTTTAGAGGGAAGAGGCTGAACGTGGTGGCTTTATTGCTCACCCCTATTCTCAGTCATACTACTGTGTCTTGTTCCCTTTCTTAATTTTTTCTCCTCCCCTTTCACCCATGGTCTCTCCAAACCTCCTTCCTCCCTGAGTACTCTCCACACTGTCTCAGCCGCTGCCTCATTTCAATAACAATTGTTTTTAAAGATTCTCTCTTTTCTCACTCACCTGTACTTTTTAATTAGCATCTTCTTTGCATATTCAAACTTGAGTCTAGTAGCTCCAGCGTCAGGGTGGAACGGCCACGGGAGCAGCTCCTTGCCTTTCACTGCAAAAAGGTGACATGGGTTATTTTAGCAGTGTGTTTTGACAGGTACTTGTTTAAACATTTGCAGCAGAAAACATTGCATGTCCATGCCACCCTGAATCCAAGGCATCTGCAGCTCCTTGGCACTGCCAAAACGCCTTGTCATCTTTCTCCCCAATAAACCTTAACAAAGAGAAAAATCAGAAGGTGATAATTATAGTGTAACAGTAATTATTAAATACAGCCCAATTACAGTCAAGTCACAGCACAGTGGGCGTGGGAGAGGAGCACAGCACACTGTGCTCCTGGGGTTGTTCTTACAATTTCTCTGTGGAAGCATGGATAGGACTGACTGTTGCTCATAACCAGCTCAGAATAGCGGAGGGGTGGCAGTGGGAGAGTGGTTAGAGCAGGAGTTAGGCTTTCAAGGCTGTATCCTCTTGGAGAAAGTATATGTGATTCACTTACATCCTTGCACAAGACCCAGACCAAAGTGAGTCCTAGCCTGGTTGAGTCCTTGGGGTATTTAGTGGGTTATGTGTGATAAATAATAAGGAAGGTCCTCTCAAAATGAACTTCCTAATGGCCCCTGGGAGTCTGGACTCCAGGGGAGTGTTAGAGGGGGTAGGACAGGGGCCAGAATTGCAGTTTTACTGCTGACCTAGGCAGATCATTTAGCTTCTCCCTCTTGGTTTCTCTGTCTGTAATGAGTCGAATAATACCTACCTCACAGCAGTGTTGTGAGGCATAATTATGAGCATGCATGAAATGTTTTGCAAAGGGTGCTTAGCAGATAGCACCATTACCTCTGACAATGGTTGGTTAAACCTGCAACATGCCAGACAAAAGAGAACTTGGCCCTTTGACCTGGAGCTGACCAGACAGGAGTGAATGAGCAGAGCTGGGGGATAAAAAGAATGTTTGTCTGCATTGAAATAGAGGGTGTTTCAAATAGCCCTTCAAGGTTCTTTGGGTAAATTTGATATCTATTATTAGAGCAACTCAAATAGTTGGAAAAATTCTTCTTAGCAAGCTTTCGGGTATAAATACCAACACAGCCACAACCTATACCCCTGTCAACTAGCCCGTGTGTGTTTTACTCGAGCCCTTGTGTGCATGTTGGGATGAGGTGGCAGTGGCAAAGGTCCCTTCTTCCATTCCCGGAGGCTGGTTCTTTCCTCCAGTGTCTGTTCATTCCTCCAGCTTGTATCGCAATGCTTGTTTTGTGGCCTGGCAACATGCACCAGTGATTGATCCTTTCCTTGTTTTTGCAGTAGAATAGTCAAGAGAATGACTATAAACTGAACTCTCAGTCTCTGGGACACTGGCCTCTTTGTGCAAGAGGGACTCCCGATGCCCTGGCTGGGATATGGACAGCAACTTCAAAACCACATGTATTTCTGTGTTTTGCTAAGGTTTTTCTTAGTCTGGCAAAAATACACCTCATTCCTCTCTGTGCAGGGTGGTTTTCTTTGGGTTTTGCTGCAAATAATGATGGGAATGGGTGGGGTACACAGGCAGAAGCACAGAAGAATGTGATACCAGGATGCAGGATTGAGGCAACACTTCTAATCCTCTGCTGAGGCTACCCTCAGTATACCTGGGGAACCTCACAACAGTGCAAGGAGATGTTGCAAGGAAAGCATTCAAGTCTCTTTCCAGGGTCCGGTACATTGACTCCCACGAGCCACAATTCCCAGCAGTGTGACCAGTATGCATTTCCTCTGTGTTGTTTCACCTTAATGGTGTTGGGCTCCTGGCTCTTAGGAAGCAAAGTGTCTGAGCCAAACCTATTCCCATTTGGCTCTGTCCTTGTTCACTGCCCATCTCAGCCTTTTGGGTCTTGGGAGGACCCCTCTCGAAGACAAAGTGGTAAGCCAAGTCCTTCTCATTTGTGGTTTCAGTCTGATGCTTTTGGATGATTTCAGCCAAGCTGTATGGTGCCTTCTGCCTCTCAGTTTTCCCCTGCAGTTTCACTGGGACACAGATTCCCCGGGACACAGATTCCCCATGATTTCCACCCTAAGCACTTGTCATGTGCTAGGATGCACTACTGAGTGGTGAGTCATTCGAGTCCCATTTGTAAACTGTGATGGGACCCTGAGACAGAAATGCCGTCTCACAGCAAGGAAAGAGTTCTTTCTGTCTGTCCTAACAGCTGTGCTTCATGCTGTGTGGTTTAACAAACTGAGAACAGGCTGTGAGGTTGGATTACAAGAAGAAAGTGAAGTGTCCTGCGATCTGTTATTTGCTCTTGGATATGCGGGGGCTACTTGTTAAAGCAAAAGGATCAGGGAGTCAAGACTCCAAAGTTCGGTTCTGTTCCTATCCCTGACACTGACTTGCTGCAAGACCCTCTGTAAGTCCCTTCACCTCTCTGTGCTGTGTTCCCAATCACAAATTGAGGGTAGCAAGATTGAGTTACCCTGCAGAAAGGCTGTGAAGATTAAATCTTTGAAAAGCATCAGTCTCTCTGTAGTATAAGGATCTAGGGCTATAATTGTTGGGTGCAGAGGGAAAGTGTTCAGAGAGAAAACTAAGAACAATGGGACAAAATGAAGCAAAAGAAACTTGGAGCTAGCTAACATGGGAAATGCTGGATGTGCTCTCTCTTAGATTGGAATGATCTCTTTGGAGAAAGCCCCAAACTTTTGGGACCATTAAAGCTCAACTCATGCCTAGAGAAAATATGGTAAGGAAGCGAAATGCAGTAATTCTTTTATGAGAGTAAGAGAGAACCTGATTGTCTTACACTAGTTTCAAACTTTCTTTTTCAGAGGCCAGACAATGAAATAACCTAGAGTAGTATCCCCAGAAAGTGTGTATATGTGGCAGGGAAGGGCACAGACCCACTCAGCCACAATTAAGAAGGAATTAAAAGCAGACTTCTCTCTCCAAAGAGCATTGGATGCCGATTTCAGACCTTGTTCTGTGATTCCTAATGCTCTGAGCTTGACTGTGCCACCGCTTATAGCAGTTGTGCCACACTTTCTGGCATCATTCAGATTATCTTGTTTAGTCCCCTGAATGTTTGCTATGTGAAGAGAGCCCCTTGAAAGCGGAGAGTTCTCCCTGGCTCCCTTCAGGCACTATTCAAGAGGTTAAACCCATTTTCTGAGGCTCGGCACAGCCAGGTGGCTCATTGGGAAGCAGTATTAAAACCTTAATTTAAATGGAAATTGGGGGCCGTTCTTGAGAGGAACTGAAGGGCGACTAGTAGCCCTGAGAACAGCAGAGAGGAGAAGCTCATTGGAAAACTATATGTGGTGGCTGGGCCTCATCTCCCACCTGTCTCCTGGCAGGAAAGTGAATGATGCTCAGCTGGGAAAGCTTGTCCAGAAGGAACTAGGAGGTGAAGTCGCTAACCTACCACTGGAGTGATGGAGGAATACTCAAATATCAGCTGACAGCAGGAGGGGGCTGTCTCTATACCTCTCCCCCTTCAAGGATGGAGGGCTATTTGTTGTTCTTAAATCCCTGGGACCCTTCCCTAGGAAGGGACGGCTTCTGGATCCCTACCCCCAGTTCCTTTCTTCCACACGTGCAAACACGTTCTCCAGCCCCTGCCTGCTGCCAAAAGATGCTGGTCTCAGAACCTCTGGCACATCGTCCTCCCGCTCTCTGTTCCCCAGCTGGGCTTATGTATTTTTTCTGTTTATTCTGCCCGAAGCTCACACTGCGGTGATGAATAGCAAATGCCTGGGTGACATTTAGCGTGATGGGCTTGGTTACCGGGATACACAGGAGAGTGCCCAAAACTGCTGCTGCTCGGGAGGAGCTGCTCTGAAGTCTATCAGACACAAAGGCTCATGATTCATCTCTGTTCCCTGAAGTAAATGCCATAGGAAAGTCTCTTTTGCATTGCCTGTCTTCCAAGCCAATTGGGGAAACGAGGGCTACGGGGTGAGGGAGCTGGTCCTGACCCCAGCCTTCAGGGGGTGAGAGCGTACCTCCTGGCTGTCCAAGCTGACAAAGAGCTGAATGAACCAAAATGGCAACTTTCCTTCTGAAGGCAGGATAAGGTAGGTGATGGCTCTGCAGCCACAGAGGAACAGTTTAAACTGGCCATCACTGCCATCAGGGTTTTTAGCTCAAGTGGGGGAGACTTGTGCTACTGAACCCAAAGTCCAGGGTCAAGCCTCCATGATAATCCCAAACAGGTGGTTGTCTTGGACAGGCACAGTGTTTTTACGCACCCAAACCTAGCCCAGGAATCATTCATTAACTAAAACCACTGCCCAGCCACAGGCTACCAGGAAGGGAAAGCAGCCCCTTCCCATCTTACAGCTCTCTAGGATTAACCATGCATTGCTCTGTGAATCACTGATAAAATTAGCAGGTAGCCTGGCTGTTGGGCAGAAAGAGATAGCTAGAGACTGCTGTTGCAGGAGATTTGAAATCCGCTGGGGTGAG